CACGAATTACTTTTTCTAAAAACGTATATATTGTTTTATGAAAATTAAACATTTAAGTCAGAAAATCTTTCTATTGAAAAATTTGGGACGAAACAAATAGCCCCGATATGGGGTTGGTCGTTTCATCGTAAGGTGAATGGTTCCGGCCACATTATTGATCACTTCTAAAGGGTAAACCTTAACAATTGTAAATAGAGATACTTAGTATGTTGGTTTATTGATTTATCGATTTTATATTGGTACAGTTTTATGCTACTAGCGACTTACTCTGGCTTTATTCGGGTTCGTCCCTAGGTGTCTTTTGTATTTATGCTAGCAAATACAGACAACCTTCACCTTTTGGTAAATTTTATAACCATAACCTATATAATGCATGTGTTATTCTAGTTTTTGGTGTGCTTAATTACATCCAAATTTGTTAAGACGTTTCGACGTGAAGCAGTAATAAAACATACACACACAAATTGTGATTGGTAACAAAGTAAAATTTTTCTAATATTATACGCTTTTATTTAAGTACACTTTAATATACATATTTCTGTAAGTCTTGTATGCCAATTAAAAAAAAATACTAGTCGGAATATATTTTATGCGAACTGAATTTTTATAAAATACAGTATGTTTTTATATGCTTTTATCGGTAAAATGAATAATTTGCAACTGCAAATATGTTAGTAAAATCATAAATAATAATATATAATATATTGAAGGAAAATGATATCCTGTAAAGGATAGTTCACCGATTAATGATGTTATTAAGAACAACAGTCCCTAAAATAGGGGGAATTTTTATCGCAAAAGTAATCAATATCGTAGAAGATCGTAGAGTTCTCTGCATAACATATCATTAAGGATACGCCTGTTAAAGATAATGATGGTTTAATATTTTACACAAACCATACGAATATTCTTAAATCATTAGAAAATATACATACAGTAAAATTGTAACTAAGCCGAATCTGTACATTAAATATTTTTTGAAAAATCTTATTGAAATAAACATTATTATATCGATACAGAGGCCGAATCTATAGTTTTCAGAATTTATGTCTGTCTGTAACCGCATCGCAGAAAAACCACTGGAGGGATTTTGATGAAATTTGGTATGGTAATACGGGTTATCCGGGTCAACAGTCAACCCATAGGATACTTTTTACCGCGGGAAAATGTCTTATTTCTGAGAAAAATACAAAAAATGCAATGTAAGAGTATACTAATATGTAAAACCTAAGAATTTGGTTTTTGGTCATCTGAACGCGAACGGAGCCGTGGGCAATGCTAGTGAAAAAATATAAAATTAAAAATATTCATATAATACGTATATATACACAGTGTATACTTCTAATATCACGTACAATTTGCGTAAATATAAATAAATTGCACAAAATTTAATTAAAAAATTGTTACATTGTTGACATAATAAACAAAAACATAAAACCGAGTTATGTTTTATTCATAATAAAATAAATATGTATAGACGCTAGTATTCCAATTTGCGGCCCCTGTCGGAGATAATAGTGTATCCTGTTACATACACCAGCGCAATCAGCGTAACAGATTTGAATCAACATTATTGTGCACTAACGTTTGCATTTAGCTCTGTCTTAGCGTTAAACCTAAATAAAAAAAATCGATAAAGTGCGAATAGAATTTACATACAAATCGTTACTACGATTTCATATAAACCATATGTATATTTATATTCATATTATATAACATATATATATATATATATATATATATATTCATATAGACAATACGGTTCCATATAGACCCTTGGGGTACCAAATTCGGGCCATGTCATATGACCTTACATGTACATATATAAACTATGTTAAGTTGAAAATATAGGTATTTAATATGGGAAAAAAACTGTATTTTATACTTAACGAAGTGACGTCTACGCCGTAGTTTCTTTTAAGATCGCGATACATCATCGTCAACTATTCACCGAGATTGATTGAATCGGTGCACGACATTATTTCTAATCAACATTTTTGAGGACTTGAGTTGTCTGCAGACCATCCTTGGCAGCATCAGATCTTGATCATCTTAAGTCAATGTAATCATTGGTTTTGTGTAATATGAAAAAGATTCTGAAATATAAAATATATTCCGTGATATTTATTTACTTGTTTATTCAGGAAAGCAATTTTATTCTATTATTAATAATATTATATATTTATATTCGTAATAATTAATATTTAACGGTACGTTAAATATAATATGTTTTACGTTTTAACGGTTAGTATGAAATAATCCGAAAAGATAATTTTATTTAGAATGTCATATATTCGCGTAAATCTAAGAAATTATTATTAAAAAGTTATTAAATATCCCAATGAAGTTTCAAAACTATTAAATAGACTAAACTAACACTCGTCTATACTAATACTTTCTTAGATTTACGCGAATATTTGCCATTTTAAAAAAAACTACCTTTTCGGATTTTTTCGCGGAGTTATTTGGATTTTTGGTTCGTCTATACTAGTTTGGTCTAAGACTCATATTAAAATACTGTTCAAACTAAATGTGCTTTAGAAAAGAAGCGTTCATAGTCAATGCATAACTTCTGGCAACTTGAACTAAATTGAAACACCCAATAACAATAACTTTATCACGACATTTCTTTATTTATACACTGTTTTCTTTTTATGAAGATTTTTCACGCAACTTCGCTTAAATGTAATCGCTATAAATAACTTAGAAACAATATAGCTTTCTATAAGTGAAAGCATTTTTTGAAACGACTTATTTGTTAGTTTGTTTTTTCTCTGGATATGAAGTAGCAGTCAAAATTTATCTCAAAACAAGTCTATCCCACGGGAACTGTACATTTTTCCGGGATAAAAAGTAGCATATGTGTTATTTTGATGGATGAGCTGTACTATTGTAAAGTGTCATTAAAATCCATTCAGTAGTTTTTGCGTGAAACAGTAACAAGCATCCAAACATCTATATATCCTCACAAACAATTTATAATATTAGTAAGATTAAATAGGGAGAATAAGATAATAAAATGTCTATAAAAATAAACCTGTCAATACAACATAAAACTATATAAATAAAAATAGATTGATGATGCAGCGATAAAAATACCAATAGTTTAAATACAAAAGCTTTATTTTCACAGCAGTATTTTCGTACAGAAATGAATTGTGACTATATTATCACAATATTGACGTTTTATGAAAATTTTATCTACTTCCGAATAAAATGATTCTAATTAAAGTTGTTCTGTAAAATATTTCTAATATTCTTGCGAATTAAATCTTTAGAGACTGAGTGAGAGAAATTAAGTCTAAAATTTAAAAGATCAAATCGTGCGTCAAAGACATTGATATTAAAGTCGACTTAGTCAAAAATATGACGACACTATTTGTACAGTAATTTTTTTAATTCTAATTCTATACTAGGTATGTAAATTACAAAAGCAAAATAAACCGACTGTGTAAAAAGCGATACTATAAAAAAGGAAATAAATGATGAGTGCAGACATACATACATATAAAAAGACTTACAGAAAATATAAAACAGTGATTGTTCTAATAAACATATATACTAGTGTAATATAGCTTCTATATATACTAATATTATAAAGAGGTAAAAAAAGAATGTGAGTTTGTGTCGTTATAGGGGGCAATCTCTGGATCTACTAATCCAATTTAAATGGAATTTGGTAAGAAGTTAGTTTAATACTCTGGAAAAGACACAGGATACTTTTTATCCTGGAAATCACCCCTTAAGGGATTGAAAATAGGGATGAAAGTTTGTATTGGGAAGCAAGCTAAGGACGAACCCGAGTCGCTCGTAGTCTAATATAGTACGAAGTAATTAATAGTATATTATAAGTAAATATAGTAATAGCTTATAGTTTCTTTATATAATGAAGACAAAACATTTCAGAACGTTTTCCTCCTCTATTTGTCAACCGATTTTCTAATTTTTGTTTAGTAGCCGTTGACGGGCTGTAGTATTAGTATAAAAAAATAAATATGGAAACAAATTTTTGTAAAGATAGGTGAAGACTAAATAGTTCATAATTATTATTTATAAATTTTCAATGAAAATTATGTTCTAATTTCGATCACTGGGCGAAACTAGAATATATGTATATTGTAGAATAAAAATCATCCACGGACGTACCGACACTTTAAAAGACGTTTAAACAAATAAACGTTTGGAAGTAACTTAGTTTTTGTAAAATTGATAAGATATATGTTGAAATGTTAACATAATATTTATATGATTAGAAACAAAATTAGAATTCATGAATTTAATAACATAAGTTATTAGAATAAGCATTCCTTTGTGGGCGTATTTTCAGAATACGACATCAAGTAAGCAAATAAGTGTAGGTGGATTGTCTAAGTGCAACTTAAATAATTTGATTTTGATAATATTAAAATAAAAATATTTTTAGTTTATATGATATTCTGTACATATTGTAACAACAAGACCTTCCAACTCTCAGTACACTCCTTGCCAAAAATATCTCACGATATCGCAATAATTTTTTTAAGCTAAAATTTCTAATCTATTTCAAAATAACCATACTTATTGATTAATTATTATTTTTAACACTGAAAATTTGATGCATTCTTCTATTTTAATAGACACGTATTATATAAAATAATATAGTGTTTTCTCAAGAGAAGTCGAAGAAGACAGCTTCAAAAATGCTGCAATTGAGTTTCTATTGTATTATATATTAAAAAAATGTTATTAAATGTAGGAAATTTATTTTAATAGACCACCTTTTTTGTCTATTAGAATATATATTACTGTATATTCTCTATCTATCCCATTAAAAAACAATGAGTAGTTATATATATATCCCAAGGAACAATATTGTAACTCAGTATTGTAGAAATTTGTACTATAAATATATGAGGCAATAAATTTTATTTTCAAATCATCTAAATACCGAGTTATAATGTTGCTCTTTGTAATTGACGAAAGTATATACTTTAATCAGCTAATTTCTCTGTTATTTCAAGCGTACAAGTACCAGTCTCTGGGGTGAATGGATGGGGGTAATGCATGGCGACGAAATGGAATATGTCTTTGGCCATCCTCTTAACATGTCTCTACAATATCATACAAGAGAACGCGATCTAGCCGCCCACATCATGCAGTCGTTCACAAGATTCGCTTTAACTGGGTAAGTATTATTAGTTTCCTCGTTAAAGTCAAGATAAGTTTTGCAAATGTTTCGTCTACTTAAAGTTTTCCTTGAAGATTTCTATCAGATACAGTTATAAAGTAGAGATGATCTTGCTTACTTTGGATTAGGTAAACTTTGAATCTTTATCCAGCTTAAAATATAAAGAATGATTATTTTGTACAATAAACTATATATTTTGACCGGTTTTAAAAACAGAAGTACTTTGATTAGGTGTACGGTTTTTGTGTGTATATTTTTTCTTTCATAACATATAATAAAAATGTAACGGATCGCTGTCTGTATATGGAATTTATATGAGAAAAATTATATTTTTGGGACCTTTACCAACGCAAATAGCACCCAAACAATGATTTTTAGAATTTTTGTCTGTTTGTCTGTGCGTTTGTGCAAGCTAATCTCAGAAACGGCTTATCCGATTTAGATGTGGTTTCATTAATATATTGTGGTAAGCTTCACTTAACATTTAGTGTTTGTTTCATGTCAATCGGTTCATAAATAAAAAAGTTATGCAAATTTAAAGAATGGTTTCCGTGGGGTAGATCTGTTTGTGCTTTTTCAGAGGCAAACCCGAGCGAAGCGTGGGTGAGCTGCTAGTTTAATGAATAAAATATTATAACCTCAAGTGTCCATAAATTTTACTAAGACTTTTTAGGGTACTTCTTTAATTAAAAAGTTTTTAAACATTATTAAGTATGACCGTACCCTATATTATTCTTAGATAATATGTATATTTCAAATATGTTTGGTTTATTATTTTTTCTCGCCAGCATCATTGCATAGCCATAGACATCATTATACGCTATTAAATAATGTAGCTGCGACGGTAAATAACTCCATCGTAAAATAACTAAAACCGTTGTATAATATTACAGGAAACCTCATAAACCAGATGAGAAGTGGCCATTGTACTCGCGGTCGTCGCCACACTACTACACTTACACGGCCGACGGCCCGAGCGGTCCAGCCGGCCCGCGAGGTCCCCGCGCCTCAGCCTGCGCATTCTGGAACGACTTCCTTAACAAACTTAACGGTAAATGCTTTGTAAAGAAATTCTTGCATGTCGCTAGATATAAATAAGTCAAAATCTGGCTTAAAAGCCAGATTTTGACTTATTTATATCTAGCGATATGCCCTCGCTTTACTTAGGTGCGTCTTTAGGTTAGGAGTAATAGGAGTTTGTTACTCCAGGTTTTAACTGTGTACTAAATTTCATCCAAATCCGTTCAGCCGTTTCCACATGAAGGATTTACAAACAAACACGCGCGCGCACTCACACACAAGCATTTGCATTTATTTTATATTTATTTTAGTAGTCTGATATACAGTTTTAAATTTTTGTTATATTCTTGTTAGGACCCTTTCAAAACGAAGTACTTCAAAAGCTTTCGATCATAAAAGCTATGGGTTTTTTGATTTATCTGCGTATAATATGTTATGTGAGTAAATCTAATCGTTTTGAGATGTTATTTTACAAGCTAGTTATCTTATTAGGCAGCACTTTAGTGACATTTCCGCGGAATTAAAATAGAAATCTGTATTATATCTGTAATTTTAATAAATTTAATAAAATGTTAAATATTAAGCAGAAAATTAACGATTTCCTACGAAGAACTGCTAGTAGTTAGTGTAAAAATTCACTTAGCATGCGAGGACAACGACATGGTTTTCATTATGTTTTGTTTCTTTTTTATCTTCAAATGTTCAAAAGTATATGTCATGAGTAAAATAATCTTATTAAAACTCATTAAATTTCATTTTTTGGTTGTTCGAATGCACTGATTTCAAAAGTGTTTTATATGGGGCATAAAAACATTCTTATACAACTACTAGCATTTCCCGCGGCTCCGCCCGCATTCAGATGACCAAAAACCAAATTCTTAGGTTTTACATATTAGTATACTCTTACAATGCAGGTTTTGTATTTTTTCTCAGAACTGAGATATTTTCCCACGGTAAAAAGTATCCTATATGTTGACCCGGATAACCAGCTATCATCATACCAAATTTCATCAAAATCTGTCCAGTGGTTTTCTCGTGATACGGTAACAGACAGACAGACAGACAGACAGACAGACAGACAAAAATTCTAAAAACTATAGATTCGGTCTCTGTATCGATATATTGTCTATTTCAATTAGATTTTCCGAAAAATATTTAATGTACAGATTCGTATTAGTAACAATTTTAATATATGTATAGATTATATGTATAATTTAACAATTCTTGACGTGATTTTAGGAGCTCGCCCGTGTGTAATGCGTATAAAGCTTATTCAGAAATTGAATCAGAGAACCGTGCATATTCGGTCAGCCTTAATATATATTATTTATGCCTATATAAGTCGGAATTGTATAATTATTTTTTAAACGTTGTGCTCGTAAGGTGTTTACTTGGGTTTTTTATAATATATTTTTATTTACAGCATTTTCTTTTTGATCAGTTACATATTTGGAGCTTTTTTATCAGTTTGTTATCCCAAATTATTTTAAAACATAAGTTTTATGTATATTTGCGATTGTCTCTTCAAAACGTCATTTTAATTCCCGCGATTTGAATGATATTTTCTTAGCATACGTATTTGGAATATGTAACAGAATTAAAACCACATCAAATTACTTTTTTATTTACAAATATTAATATGGCCTGTGTTTCGTTAATGTTACTCAAATAGGCCCCAAAACCGGCTGTAGGATTAAATTGGTTCACAGAACGCCATTTTTTCTCAAATATAATTGACCAAAAACATGAATTTGAACTTACATTTAAACCAGTTCTGCAAAACCTGAAAACACCTTTATTCTGGCTTTAATGTATTTAGTATTATTCTGAATATTAATAGTAATAATAATATTATACAATTTCTCCTTTAAAATATTTTAAAAAGTAAAAGGGTCTTTCTTATTTTGAATATTGTACATAGTGTATTTAACATTTTAATTATAGTAAAACAAGTGCTAGATTGTATTTAGCAAGGAAAATTTAGAATTATCTAAGAAAATATAATTTTATATTATAATATATTATTTTATATTATAATTTTATATATTACAGAATTGGAGCATGTTCCTTGCGACGGAGCCGTTACTGGGCCGTACTCAAGTGTTGCAGGAACTACCCTGCCCATCATACTATTAACTACATTAGCAATTACAGTGGCACTATAAACTGCCACATCACGTAACTTCTTTAATATATTACGATCGAAATCTTATAGATTATTTAATCAAAAATGGCACGGGAACTTTGAAATTAGGTATGACACTGCAAATGCTATTATTAAAATCTTGTTATCGTTTTGTTTTATAGTACCATAGCAAGGAAATAATAGCGAAAATTGCATTATTATAAATAAATATTTTATAATATCTGTTTACTTGTAAGAATGGAGTAGCGCTTAAGTAAGTAGCTGTCACGATGTTCCTCTACCAAGTAGAATGTAGGTATCGTCGGGTGTAACATTTAGTTCAGAGGTCATTCACCCCGGCTGCTTAACTATGTGTTAGGTTAACTAGAGATTACATCGGCTTTATCTATTAAAGTGATGCTCAGCTTTTAAGGCATGGAAATTATCACTAAACATATCAATGTGTGCCTCTGCTTGGATAGCAAACGATACATATCTTGAATAGGGCGATTTTAGAATTTTATATTATATATATATATTATTATGTATTTATAGGAGTGTACGCTGTGACGAATTTTTAAAGATATATTTACTACTTAGGAAGCTATCGACTCGTACCACTTGAGGATCTTATGATATCCAATTCTTATGACTTCAAAACAAATAATTCTATATTTTGTAAATAAACCCTTCTTACAATTAGGTCGCGGTATCCCTTAAAGATACACTTTTCTATGTATGTATGAAACAGATGTACTATACATTAGTAGTTCTAAAATATATTAAATCACTTAATACGTTTTACATGAAGTTAAAAGCACTGCCGTGCAAAACTATTCTGTGGTGACCACGAGTGACCATGACCAGTATTCAGAGGCATGTAACCATTATTGATAGCAGTATAGGTCTTTTATCGAATGAAGAATCATTTTTAAATTATTTAATCAATAAAAATCAGCATTCAAATTGAAAAAAATAAAATAATAAAAAAAACAGATGAAAGAGATATTTATGTGTAGGTACGTGTTAATAATGTTATCAATTTATAGTACGAACTGCTGTCCTACAGTTAAATATTCATTTTTTTTAACGTTGGGAAATGTATTTACGCACGAAGTGTGGGACTCACCGGCGAAGCCAGTACTACCCACTAAAACCCAACAAAACCTTCCCCCGTCTTAATGGGGCGTCGCAGGATCGCTTACGCATTCAACTACGACGCCCCGACGGCAGGTCTGCCGAAGCAGACCACAACAACCACGGGGTTGCTCCAAGGTCCACTCTGCTATCAGAGAAGTACCAGGAGCAACCCGCATGGTACACCGCCCTCCGAAGAGGGCCGCCTCCCACCGCCCACCGAAGCGGGCCACCTCCCTGTGCGTTTCTTGGCTTCGCGCCCGGTTGTATTGCCGGGCACTACTGAGCCCCCCCACCACGACAAGGTGAACGCACGTTGGTGGGGAAATATTCATTTAACTAAAGTTCAATAATTATAATTGATCGGATGAAAATACTAAATAGAAGTCTATTAAAATTTGGTACTTTGGTCTAGTGGCTAGAATATACAGCTGTAGATTCTGAGGTTACGGTTTCAAACTCTGGTTCGGGTTGTATACTTTTCGAAAATATAATGTATTTATATTTAAAAACGTCACTTCTTTTTGAAATGTTCGTGATAAAATTGTCTTGAAACTGATTCTTCATCTAAATAATATTTTTTAATAAACAGGTAGATTAAAAAAAATACTTGACCATAGGTTACATGTAGTGGCAGTGGAAACCTTCCCGTCGTAGCGATGTAAGCTGCAGCATAATAATGCTTTAACTGAAAATCATCTTATGAATTTAATAAAATTTTAAACATGGTATTTGTATGAGAAATATTAGCGATAGTAAATATTTATATGCGGTTGTCAATTACTATCTTGAAAGAGTTTAAAAGGATAGAATGGTTTTGCACACATGACTTAAATCCTTACTTATAAAAGTTGCTTGGGTTTTTATATAAAAAGAGACACTTTCGGACTTATGTCATTTTAATAGTAACAAAAGAAAACAAATCATTGCTGTTAAGCAGCATTTATAGTTAAGGGTATTATAATGTGACATTTGGTGTTGCCATGCTTTATTTAAATTGTATTTTATTTAAAGACATAGAAAAATGGATTGAGAGTTAGATTTATCTGTCAAATGATAATAGTAAAATGAAAAATGAATCTATGAGGAAAAACTATGGCCAATATTAGTCACTTCCTAGAATTTTAATTGATTACTAGATTATATATCATAAATCAAGTGTGCACCTCTATGCATCAACACATACATACAAAACAGGTAAGCCCTCGGTCTTGCCTGTTTTGTTTTGACTTTTACTTAAGATGAGTCAGCTTAGTGAGGTTAATGATCAGCCCATTCTTCTATGTCTCTGATAGGGTAAGCCATTGAAATGAATCAGTATAGGAATGTTTAAAATTACTTAAATATGTAATTTTTTATTCGGAAATTGTATGTTTAATTTTATATTTTTTGATTGATTATTAGTACCAAATGTATTATTTAGTAGAAATTGCATTAGTATAATTATTTATTATGCCTATTAAATTATAATTTAAAACTTGTCCATATGGTCCCATTTCAAAGGCTCGTCTACATATCATGTCTACGGAGAATATAGTAGTATCCACGTTTAATTAAGCGTTTGTGTGCACGTTGTAGTGTAAATCGACACAGGCATCTGTCCACTGACTAGTATTTCGAGAAAGTCCTTCTCAAGTAATACAGCTATGATACAAGGCACCATCTCGCTTTTTCGTCGAATTAAGCACATTTTGAGAAGTTGTATGGGATAGCTTTAATTAGTTATAAATATATAATGAAAATAAAATATATAGTAAACAGAATAATTGGCAACACTCGATAATAGCGAGAACAGCATTATCGTCGTTTAACTTTGAACACAAGTATTAATTAATGCTAAAAATATTCTCATTTCTTTAACAATACGAGATCTATACTCTCCTTGCACTTCAAATATCTTATCTAAAATATGCCCTGACAAATCAGTGGTTTTATTTTATACAGGCCTAAAGTAATACTATCAAAATGTATTAAAATATAAATACACTCCCCGATATATAAATCTGTGAATAATAATTGTAAGTAAACACTTGTTGGCGTTTAGAAATAAACCTACTGCATTGAATGTGATTTTAATTAGTATCGTATATTCCTTACTTTAAATAATTTATATTAAATGTTAAATAGCATAATAAAAAAATATTTTATAGGTCACGAAATTTGTTTGCACTTCTCTGTGGTAATCCCACTTCAGTGTATAGTTTAGTTCTATTTTAGTATAAATAGATATTTATATAATAATATTAAGGTAGCAGTAGAAAACAACTCAAATAAGGTAATAAATTATTTGTCTATATTATAATATAATATTTAAAATATTTTTTCATTTCAAAATGTTATTCACCTGATATATTCTGAACACAACATACATACATCGTTTATTTATTGTTAGGACGGATATTCCATACATAGAAATATAATAAAAAAATCTTAGCAGTATAAATGTGTAGTTCCTTAGAAAGAGTATTGTTTGTTAGAATTTAAATGTTTAATGTTTGTGTAAGCTTTTATATGTTATGCAAGAATTGGTGTTGACACTGTGTTAGAATGGCTTAGGTATAAATTAAGGCACATTGTCATAGGGTTTTATTTACTTTACTTCCATAATTTTTATGTGAATATAAATTGAATTATATATGAGGTGTTAAAATTGTAAAATATCTTATGGATTTGATAAAAAATTGTTGTATCTATATATTTTTTTGATAATGACGTTATTGTTTTAATAGACATTCGAATATTTTGAAGATTTAAAATAAAATTGTTTTTCATAATCTAATTAGAGAGTAGTACAAAGGCCCAAATATTTTATATTTTGTCTTGAGATTAAAAAAATATGTTACTTTTAAAGTAATTTTAATCTTAATTTTTTCAAATTACAAAAACGATATTTTCTTGTTCTTTTCTTGTTCTCTTTTGTTTTTACTAATTAAGTACGTAAATATTTATAACTTTATCGTAATCTGTATGATATTAGATATTTTCATATACATTTGTAGAATTTTGGTTAGGGATCGGTTGGATTCCGCAAAGTTTTACTCAGAAATGGTTTTAATATAAAATAATTGCAAGCAGCTTATACATAAGTTTTAATACAATTTCCAAATCAAATAATATGTATTATACTATTTATCTACGGATATACACTAATTGGTTTCAAAACAACAAATACAAAAATATAAAAAAAAATGTTGACTACACTATTTTTTATTTGTTAAAAATTCAAATGTATGTTATTTAAATAATATAACTTTTTTGAAACCTGGTTTTTGTCATGAAAGGTCTCATTTAAAAAAAATAAGTAATTTCTATTTTTTTTAATTAACATAATATAATATATTACTATATGTATATTTTGTGAATATCATTAATATGAATAAATCTGTCTTCACATCAGAATGTAGGTATCGCTTAAAATTAGGTGCTATGTAATGTATACATATCGGTGTGCAATTATTCATAAATACATATTAATCTGGAATGCAAATGACGTTGACAATATCTGTTAATAATTTTGGATTTCAATATTGTATGCTGATGCTTTTAGATCTATCTCTGTTAATATTAGGACTTGCTCTCTATTGTTCCGTAGGTCTACCATGAAAGTGTAGTACCCCAGAATCATTAGCTTAAGTGACTCTACAACCGCTGTCTATAATAGAAAACTAATAAAACATTATAGGTAATTAATTATAGATTTAAAAAAAAATGCCTGTGAACAAATGCTCCTCAAAATGACGCCTTAAAACGCTGCTCCTCAAAATTACTCCTCGTTGGGCTCCTCGAAAAAATCTAATACGCACTAATTTGAAGGTTTTATTAGTAATCTTGAACAGTTCCATTTTCTATCTTGCTCTATCTTCTGATCACGATTTTAGTTATTATATTGTTATTCGAATTTTACATATTTATAACTTTTAAATCGCTATGACAGTAAAAAGTTGACTAAAATGGACTCCCAAATTTTTATTAAAAAGAACGTGTATTGTATTCTAAATCAAGTATTTTATTTTTGAACTTCTTATGTGGTTGAGAGGTCGGATATTTTGGGGTTTATTAACTTACCGAGTTTTTAGTACCATTCCATGACCTTCAGCCAAAACTTTCAGCTTATTTAGAAACTAACAAGAGAACACTCAATATAAAATTTGAACTGAAAAGACAGATCAAGTCGAACGAACAAAAGAAGTTAAATAAAAGCTTATTAAATACATGGATATAATATTCCAAAAACATTATTGATACATATGATTAGATTTGTCATTCCCTTTATATCTTTCTCATTTTTAGTTTTCCATCAGCGATTGCGATTGTAGAACTTTACGATGGTTATGAAAAGAAAATTGTTTTTGTAATATTATATTCATAAAATTATGTAATATATTAGTTAGAATCTTAAAAATCACTAAACAAAAAATCTAGTTTAAGTAAATTTACGATTTTGGGTTATTTGTGATGGTTAATTGAATTTTGGAGTATACATTGAATAGATATCATCATGGTAGGCCTATCGTGCTCGGTCTTTCTAATTGCTAATGCTACGAACTGGAAGCCAAATGTTAGAGCTGGCATAGTGTAATAAGATCTGAAGTCTTCAGAACAATCACGTTGATCAAGGTTTAAAGTTGATAATTATTTTCTATATTTAGTTGTTATTAGGAAATTCTATACTATTAATAAAAATAGGTAGCAACTCAATTAAATCATTGTTTGAGATGTACAGCCACTGTCGTATATGTCTACTTTATTTAAGCTTTAAATGTAAAGTAGCTCTATTTACTAGGATATTTACATTTTTCATATATATATATATATATATATATAAATTAGTTAATTTTATTATATTATTGTTAATATTTCGTATAAAATATTTTATGTAAAGTATAGTTTATTATTGAAATTAATATGAACGTACGACGTTGACTGTACATGGGCACGATAATTTATTTCATTGTAGAAAGCAAATATTTTTATCTGAATATTTTAGATTATAGTTATAATGGTTTGCTTTAAATATCAAATAACATATCTTTATTCAGACAATTATTCAATAAATTTTAATTAAATATTTTAGTTTTATTTTGTATCATTCCTATTATGAAATGTGTAGTAAAAAAGTTCGACTCTGTGTCTGTTTGTAATGTATGCATTCATATAGTCCTTAATTAGACAAATGCGATAACTTTGGGGGTTTTTCAGCCTATAGAAGTTTTTTTCATAGTACCATCAATGTACGTTAGATGGCGTGATTTAGGCCTGAGGCATGTCTTTCCGAACTGTTGGTAGACTCAAGACGTTCAGTATAAATTTCAAAAATTTAATGCTAAATAATATTATTAAAGAATTTGAATTGGTTCATATATCGCATAACTTACACAAAAAGCACATCAACTTTTTGAATTCGGTCAAACAAAATAAAATATTTCTCCAAAGCAAAACTATTCTAATAGTGGGCAAAGAAGGGAAAATAAAAGACCATTCTCATTTAAAACATAATATTTACATATAACCATTCTTTTAAAGTTGACACGAATCAAGCTAACGATATAACCTAAATAATTTAGGTATATGGGACATACCCGTTTTCACCGATTGACTAGATACAAGTACTAACAAGTAAGCAATTATAAAGTACAGGAGTATATATTTATTATATTAATAGATAGTTCTATCCGAAAAGGTTTATTAGGTCATTAATCAAACTGTTATTTCAAAAATGAAATCTTATCATAGTACATCTAAAGATCTTTGCTGATGATAACGAGTTATCTTTTGATGCCAATGGTAATTGATTATATGTCATTAAGTCCACAGATCAAGTCAGCATGCTCATAATGCTCCATGGGTAGAGGCGAAAACGCTAATGTTATCGAATTCTGGTACCGTCCACTAGATACTAGCCGCACTACGGTGTCTTCACATGCGATAAGGATTGGACGACGTGCTGAAAAGAAAATGATTTAAATTATTATTATAGTTTGATTTAATATAATTTCATAAAAATTGTGGCATTTCTAAAAACTATTTGAAATATTCTTGTAAATGAGTGGCGAGGCTATAATCTATTTTGTAAATAAACAATATTCTTATACTGTTGAATTGAATAAATAACTTGTAAGAACTATATAAGTATGACATAATTTAAATAAATATCCTGTTAATATTATATATAAATCCGATCATATTTAGCAACTGGCTAAATATATCTGTTACTTTTTCACGCTGTAACGGCTAATAAAATTCGGAATAATAGCTTTGTAGATTAGCACATAGGCTAAACTTAATTTTTATTTAGTTATTTTTAATTTGTACAAAAAAAATCAGTCAGTCAAAAGTTACAACAAGATTGATAATAATATAAGTGGAGATGATGAAAAGAATCGAAAAAGTGCAAAGTGACTTAGTAGACTGTAATATGTATGGCATTGCTTTATGGCTACATAACATGTGTGATAGCAATAATTATAAATTAAAATTTTAAGAACCCCTTACTTAAACTAATGATCGCAAGAAGTCGAAATTGAAACAATCATTTTAATTATAAATAAAAAATTTAAAAAACCTCCTACGCAAAGAATACTTATAGTTTAAGGAACAATCTTTAAAAAGTAAAAAACTTAACCGAGTAATCATTCGCCGAAACGCCTTACATCATTTTGGAAAAGAGCTGATACTTTTACACTGCTCGACCGATGTTAATGAAACATAGCTAAGAACTACTGCAAAGAAACTGGCTTTCAAATTAAAAAAAATGCATCGAAATCGGTCCATCCGTTTGAGAGCTACGATGCCACAGATAGACCCACACACACACAGACAGACAGATAGACATCAACGTCAAACTTATAACACCCCTCTTTTTACGTCGGGGGTTAAAACATATTTTATATTATTGCAAAACATATTTTTCGACTTTATTCCCGATCCTAGAATCCAATTTCCTCACATAACCATTCAACATTTATCAAACAAAATATTAAAAAGGAAAATAGTCGTATTTTATATGTAATTTTATATTTCAGATTAGATATTCTTCTTAAGGATGAACGATAAAAGATCAAAAATGAAATACGTGCAATTGAATCATGTCATTGTACTCGAAAATCGAGTCAATTTTCCAAGCTAAATTGAAAGTGCTCGTTAACACACCACGTCCGGTTAAATTAGATCTTTTTTGTAAGGTACTTTTCCCTACAATAATTTATTTGATGTTGTTTTATAGTTGTTTGCGTTTTTTATGTACTATAAAAACTATTTAAAGTGTTACTTGATAACTTATGAAGGATTTTAAGTTAATGCTAATACCAAACGAGTATTAAAATTTAATATTATGATCTCAACTCCAGGCTACGAATACGATTCTTTTCTCTGAAAAAGCCAAATAACAATTTCAGGGCGACCCAAAACTCGAAACTCGAACCTGGAACCGCAAAACATTTACCTATATGAGCTAACTACAACAATGAACAAAAATAAAGCTATATATAAATCCAACAAATGACAAATTATAAGTTACATTACCTATTATTGCCACAATAGTAAGTAAGTTTAATAATAGTTTAACTTTATTACACCAAATAGTGGCTTAATAAGCCAGTCATGGTGCACATCATCGGGTGACAAGTATTATACAATGAATTGGACAGTGAACACGAGTTTCAGTGTATTTTAAGTGCATTTGAAATTACGTTACGTTTCATTGTAGAGTAGTTTGTGTCAAGCAGAAATACATTTTCGAACATACAATACGTTTCTGTTTCACACTGTTGTCCAACACTTTCCTTTGTGTACTGATTAATTTACTGATGTTGTATCTATCACTTAGAACTTTATTAAAAGATCATATTTTTTATCATAAATATTAAATAATAACAATAAAAAATGAAATAGTAACGAATATATAATAAAATGAAATAGTAATAAATATTTGTTTTTATAAGTAATAGAATAGTTTTATACTATATATATATATATATATATATATATATATATATATATATATATATATATATATATATATATATATATATATATATATATATATATATATATATGTTCCCGCCACATCCAATTTCCGCGACACTCACTTCCGAGACACTCATTTTTCCAATGCATTGACTTACCCTTTAGTTACGCCTGAAGATGTTTTACTTAAAAAATCTTTTACTTCCTACCACAAACCAAAACACATATTATTTAGAGAACACAATGTTGCAGTATAAGCTTGAACTATTTAAGTTTAAAATGTTAAATATTTCATTTACCTTCATTTGAGTCGAGTCCGCATATACTATCGTAGTGCTCCATTTTGGTGTGATCGAGGCCATTTGCGCCGCCGATGTCCGCATAGTCGACGAGGCCCCGCTTTGTGCACTGTATAGTGTACACATGACTTAATTAAATGGCTATCGTTTACTTATTGGTACTGGTTTTATCTTGTTACTTTGAACTGCTAAATCTGTACATATAATAAAATTCTAACTGAACCGAATCTGTACATGAAATACTTTTTGGAAAATCATATTGAAATAGACATTATTATCGATACAGAGGCCGAATCTATAGTTTTTAGAATTTTTGTCTGTCTGTGTGTCTGTCTGTCTGTTACCGCGTCACGAAAAAACCACTGGAGGGATTTTGATGGAACTTAGTATGGTGATAGCTGGTTATCCGTGTCAACATATAGAATACTTTTTATTGCGAGAAAATATGTCATTTCTGAGAAATCTATAATAAACGTTAAAACGTAAGTAGGAGCGAACCCAAGCGGAGCGAGGGTGAGTCGCTAGTTATATATTATAAATACGCAAAGACAAAACAGTTGAGTACCTTTTTGTTCTCTGTTTGTCAACCGATTTTCTTTTTTTTTTTGCTTAGTAGCTATAAGCTACATAAGATAATGAGTAAGTTATATCAGAGCTGGGATGGGATCTCTTTATATTATTATTGTAAATTGATAAAGTAATAAGATTTAGGCTTAAAAGTTTAGTTTTTACATGGACATTTGTTTCATATATACATATTATATTTAAAAATAAATTTAGTTTTATTGTATTTTTTCATTCACTGAACATAAGAGGAAATCGACCCTACTGATACGCCTTAAAACCTTATTGGGTTTTTTAACAATAGGAATTATTTTCCATTTGAATAAATGTGCTTATTTACAGTTACATATTTGGTAATAATATTTGATTTTGTTTTAAGTTATTGCTTTCATTCAACGTATCGCTTATTACATAAGAAGTAAATAAACACGTTGGAAGAACTAAGAATTAATGTCTCTTTTATCTACAATATTTTATTTTATAGACATAGGTTTTCAGAGTAGGACCATAAGCTCTCGTTTAATAAGCTTTTTTAAAAGGGATGGGATGACAAGATTTTTTCTATAGAAAGATTACAATCCTCTCAAACATATCTTATTACGGTATTAGAACTTTTATACTTTTTTTTTATTTGACAAGATATACGACGGCGCAATAGGTACATTTAATTTGTGACAAGATTCTTTTCGAAGAAATGATTTAGGGTAGACTATTTTCATAATATTCCTTTCAAATGTATTTTGAAATACAAATATACTGATAAAAACCATATAGGTACATAACGTTGGCACCCAAAGCAAAATTTAACGTATATCTAGGTATATATAAATAGGCAAAAACAAAACAGTTCAGTACCTTTATTTCGATGACTAATTTGGCTCAGTGTGTAGTGACCCTGGTTGCTGTGCCAGCGGTCGCGGGTTCGAGTCCCGCTGGGGGCATTCATTGTGTGATGAGCACGAATGATTGTACTTCAGTCATGGGTGTTTATATTTATAATATTATATATATGTAGTGTATCAACTATCTGGTATCCATAACGCAAGCCTCGTAGCTTACCATGGAACTAGATGGCGCTGTGTATTGTAATGTCCCTACATATTTATATTTATTATTATTTCTCCTCTGTTCGTCTGATTTTCTTTTTCTTTTTTTTTTGTTTAGTAGTTATTGACGAGGTTTAGAGTTATTAATAAAAATAAATAAAACAATTAGTTTATATTTATTTTATTTCATTTATTTATTTTGAGAATACACAAATCAAAATTAGAATTAATATTTTTAATTACTCTGTTTTTTTTTTAAATCAATACTTTTAAGTAGTTTAAGCTTGAGTTTTAATTGAAATTTAAATTGTATTTCATATAAATAAAGAACGGATTTCGTATTAAAATTGTGATTTACTGCTATTTTATTAAATATTTTTTAAATTTTAGTTTTAATGGTACTGAACTAATATGTATAATTTAAAGTACATATAAAAGTTATATTCTCAGATATATGCATGTACAATGAACGAATGTGAAATAAAAAAAAAGTTTTATAAATGTAAATTCATGTTTACCTTAAATGTTTAATAATTATTACACTAGTTATTTTGAAGCTTATTAAAGAATTATTTACTTCCTGTTCCAATTCTAAGAATATTTTTTAATCTGTACATTAAAAGGAAGTTAAAATACACGTATATTAGTAATGCTATATACATTATTAATTTACATATATTTTATCATCTTTAGATTTTTTTATACCTCTTACACCATATCATCTGTTTATCATAACATAGGTATTTTATATCAATAATTCATGAAAATTACCATACGATACCGATATTTCGCAGGATAATCCTTCGCGACTCGCGAGTATACACTCCAAAATCCAAATTAACCGAGAACAAAGTTTGGCTTTAAGGTGTTATTATTTTGGATTATATTAGAGCTTATTATTATGCCAATATGAAATCAAGACTTGCTCTTGAGGTACACATAATAAATTATATTTTTAAAGTACTTGAATTTAATCCTATTAATATTATAAACACGAAAAGTGAGGATGGATGTTAGTTACTCTGTCACGCAAAAACTACTGAATAGATTTTGATGAAACTTTATAAGTATATAGCTGATACATCAGAGTAATATAGCCTTTTAAAGAAATAGTTATACAAAATTGAATTACGCGTGTGGAATTGATTTTTGTATTCTCTTTATTTACAAGTTTATACTGAATTTGAGTTATAAGGTTTACATATGATATTTATTAATATATCGCAATATATCTACGACATTGTGTATATAAATCTCCACATTTTTTGGAATATTAAATTCCATTTTAAATTAAAAACTTTTTGATTTTTAAAGTCTCCTCAAAATTATAAATTATTGATATAGTAATAAATTATCTTTCTTATTACATACAATAAACATAGACAAAATAAGTTAATAGCAAAAAAAAACTTGACTTACATGGTGAAGTGTCCCCGTTTCAATATCGAGTAAGCCTCTCTTTACCACCTGGCCTACATTAAGGTCTAACACATGGACCACAGCTGGTGACACGGCAAGAAGTGAACAGTTGCTAGTTTCGCCATGATTGCGCAGTGTGTAGACACCCTCGGATCCAAACAACATGATGTTGCAGGCTAGATAAACAATTAATAAGTATTAAAATCACATACGTAAAGTTATATTATGTTATTTTAAAGAAATAGGTAGGTATTGCTTTTATCTTTAAATTTAATTATTATTTACAGTTTTTGTTTTGAAAATTTAATAAGTTTTGATTAGTTTTTCAGCTAATATTTAATGTCAATAATATAATTGATAAAGATTGATTAAATTCACACAAATTTGTTTTAATACTAGCAACTCACCCTAGCTCCGCTCGGGTTCGTTCCTAGGTACGATTTTACGGTTAGTGTAGATTTCTCAGAAATAAGATATTCTCCCGTGATAAAAAGCTATCATCATACCTAATTTCATCAAAATCTGTCCAGTGGTAATCTTTCGATGCGTTCCCAGACAGATAGACAGACAAACAAAAATTCTAAAAACTATAGATTTGGCCTCTGTATCGATAATAATGACTATTTGAACAAGATTTTCCAAAAAATTTAATCTACAGATTTGACACAGAATTTTATTATAATACATATAGACAAACAAAATTGAAGCATTTTCATAATGTATTATGTATATCTTATTTTAAAGAACTATTTTAAAGAATTATATTCAAAATAGGCTAAACTATCGTTTAATAAGTTATTTTTAATGAATGAGATGAGCCGTTAAGAGTTTTCTATAGAAAGCTTATAATACCCTTAAACATATCTTATTACGGTATCAGAACATTTAAACCTTTAAATATATATTTTTTAATTTGACAAGATATACGACGACGCAATAAATTTGATTTACGACAAGATGATTTTAAAGTTAATGATTTAGGGTAGATTATTCTTATAGTTTAAAGTCGCCATTTTGATCACACTTAAACAGATATTATATTTAAATAATACTTTCTAGATTTACGCGAATATTTGACATTTTAAATAAAACTATAACAGCAATCATGGCCCCGAAAGAGACTAAAGTATTAAATGTCTCAAAGGCATTATACAGCTGTTACAGACATCCTACCTACAAAATTAATTCAAAAATACATAAATGGCACAAAAGTATATATTTTTTTAATTTCGAATGTGGCAATATTATTTATTTAATTGTATGCTAATTGCAACAAACACAATAAATATTATCAAAAAGGAGAATTTTTAAGGTTCGATTTAAAGCAGAGGCTCGAAATAAAGAGAAATATTTACATATTTCCCATACAAGAATGTGACATTACAGTCAAACTCACAGGAATGCTGGAAATATAGACATAGCCTAATATTTTAAAAAAACGTTTGATATGTAAAAAGAAGCTTTATAGGTCTCGCGTGCGTGGAGTGTATATAACATTTTTTGACGTTTATTTTCAGTTTTCAGTACTGTGCATTTGTGTTGTACCTCTAAATATTGTTGGGAACAGAAAGGCGTAATAGACTGTAATGAATACATAAAAAATCTAAAAGACTATTTACATATTATAGACAGAATTATAAACTTATGAAACATATTATTAAATGTAATAAAATTTGCTGTCTTTACGATATTAAAGTATTTAAATGTACACTAATAACAAATTCTGAAAATCTTATTGAAATAGACATTATTATCGATACAGAGTCCGAATCTATAGTTTTTAGAATTTTTGTCTGTCTGTCTGTCTGTCTGTCTGTCTGTCTGTTACCGCATCACGAGAAAACCACTGGACAGATTTTGATGAAATTTGATATGATGATAGCTGGTTATCCGGGTCAACATATAGGATACTTTTTACCGCGGGAAAATATCTCATTTCTGAGAAAAAATACAAAAACTGCATTGTAAGAGTATACTACTATGTAAAACCTAAGAATTTGGTTTTTGGTCATCGAACGCGGGCGGAGCCGCTGGCAATGCTAGTATAATTATAAAAATATATAACTATATATATAATAAATATAACGTTCATATTAAATGTTATATGTCAAAGCGCGTTTTGTTATCTGAGTGTTTCATACTCAATCAGGAGTACCTAAGCCTTAAAATGATAATGCAAGAAACTTGGCACAAACATAACAAGATAATGATGATACTTTTTGTTATAATATACATACTTTTGCCTTATTTTAGTTATAAATTTACTAGCGGCTCACCATCGTTTCGCTCGGATTCGACTCGACTTTAGAAAAACAAAAACTAATTTATCCCATTGGAACCGTACATTTTTCCGGGAAAACATTTACCTTTGCACTATTCCAGACAATAGTCTATACCTGTGCCAAACATCCAAATATCTAAACTTTCACATTTATAATATTAGTAAGATTTTCTGATCGCGCTATGATGAAAGGAACTTTTAAGTACATTCGGCCACGAAAGACGCGCGAATATACTAATCTATACATATAATAACTTTGTAACTAAGCCGAACCTGTACATTAAATATTTTTTTTTGGAAAATCTCATTGAAATAAACATTATTATCGATACAGAGGTTGAATCTATACTTTTTAGAATTTTTGTCTGTCTGTCTGTCTGTTACCGTATCACGAGAAAACCACTGGAGGGATTTTGATGAAATTTGGTATGGTGATAGCTGGTAATCCGGGTCAACATATAGGATACTTTTTACCGCGAGAAAATATCTAATTTCTAAGAAAGAATACAAAAACTGCAATGTAAAAGTATACTAATATGTAAAACCTAAAAATTTGGTTTTTGGTCATAAGAACGCGGGCGGGGCCTAGGGCAATGCTAGTAGCATACATATAAATTTATTTCGTGTATATCCAAAACGGTTCTAAGGATTTGAACCTGTATTTAAATAAGGTTTTGCTTTTTAAGTTTATCTATGTAGGTATCTTTTGTGAAAAAACACGCGATGTTACAAAAAAAGCCGGGCGAAGCTCGGTCACCCAGTTCCTTCTAGTTAATTTATACAAATGGCGTTATTTACTTTCTAGAGTAAGAATAAGGAACATGATAATTAATTCTACTCACTGTTTTCTACCATATTTATCTCAATAAAGAATAATACTGGCACAGTCTACTAATGTATAGAGGCGTCTAATGACTACCTTTCTAATGAAAGCCTCCAGTCAAGGCATTTGTCCAGGACATGCGGTGGGAGACGAGAATAACATTAGACCGACTTCGATACTTACTTTTGTATGGGATTCAGGAGACTAGGGTTGACGGATATATTTAACGTACCAAGAGATGTCGCTCACTTTAATTTCGAAATCGTTTGCCATAAAAATTGGTATTTTGACAAACTTTACATATTACAGAATTTCCGATAAAATGAATGGGTGACCTCTTACTGTATGGAATTTTATACTCTGATAATGGCTTTAGATTATTCGTTAAAGGATTTAATAAGCGTTTAATGTAAATCTCCTTGACAATAAAACAATTATATACAGATATATATATATATATATATATATATATATATATATATATATATATATATATATATATATATATATATATATATATATATATATATATATATCATAAGTGATACATCGTGATCTTCTGTGCTTTTTAAATACGTCGACATTTCATTGGTTGTGATGTGTATAATTATTAAAAGAATATGTATATAAATTCAAAAGCTCAGAAACAAGCAAACAAAGCTTATCAAAATTTAAGGTGCAGATAATATATGTCTAATCTATTATCTAAATACTTACGTCTAGCATTTCTCAAATGTCGTATCGTGACAGCAAATCCTTTGCCACGAGCGGGCACGCGGTATTGCACGAGAGCTGCATTCTGTCGAGACACTAACTTGCGCTGTGGTCGCTTGTCGCAAGATTCCACCACTCTGTCGTCATCCCAAGCGTCCGCTGGCCATACTTGACCGTTTAATTCCCAGCCATCTACCCACTGAAACATATTTCTAGTGTAATAATTGCTTACTATAATGTTCAAGAATAGTGCTGTTAGCATGGCGATTTATAAACGATGAAAAAAAATTTCTAATAACAAAATCAATGTTTTATGTTAAAAAACGTTACATGTTACAAATAACTTTGTACGGAATCCATATATACAATTTCATTTATCTAATATGTTGTATGTATATATTTCATAGATATATAATATTACATACGTTGCCGACATACCTAGATACAAGTAAAAGGAAAAATTTCAACCAAACGTAAAAATTCTTAATTCCTACATTTGGTTTAGCCATCTTTAAAGCTCATATCATCAAAGTTTTTTGTTCCTATCACATTTTCCTTCTCGCCTTGGGATTGAAATCCCGTTACATTACGAGACAAATAAAGCGAAAGCTTCTACAGGCACTATCCAAATATAAATACTGTGCTGTGTTGATTTCAATTTATTTAATCTCGCTAAAAAATCCAGCTGCATCGAAACGATAGCATTAGGTTTATACAACAAAGTAAAAAAAAAAGTTTTGTATGTACATTTAAATTCAAGAATTTGCTAGCGTAGCTGTGAGTATTATAATTTCTGAATAATAATTTGAAAAAAAATTGTTCTCTGTATATTAATTAGGTACTTTAAATAATTGCTTCGCTTTTAAGGACGATAATAGATCTATATAGTGTATATAATATTTCTTAATAAACGGGCTGTTAACTGAAAAAGAGCTTTTCAGATTAGGGAGTTCAAATAAAGTAAAGAAAAACCTCTTTACATATATATTAGTAAATAATAACTATATTCACTCTTCACTTCTTTATTTTTTATTGATCTATTTACATAGCAAGTAAAGTTTCATAATAAATAAATAAATATGTTGGGACATTAACACACAGCACCATCTAGTTCCATGGTAAGCTACGAGGTTTGTGTTATGGATACCAGATAGTTGATACACTACACACATATAACTTTAAATATATACATAATACATATTATAAATATAAACACCCATGACTGGAGTACAAATATCACGAATGTTCACACAAATGAATGCCCCCAGCGGGACTCGAACCCGTGACAGCTGGAACAGCAAGTCTCTACATAGGTCACTACAAACTAAGCCAAACGTGTCGTCAAATAATAATATTTTAAAATATTATAATATTATTATATTCCAATATGAGATTATTCAACTAAGAATTTCATAAGAAACTTCAAAAAGAAATAATTATGATGAAGTTAACTGCAATCTAGTTAGTGATGAGCAACATTTTGATTTTCTTCCTTTTCTCATTTATTATCTTATAGGAAGCGGACTTGGAAAATTTGTTATGCTTCTGTTAAGATTATGATTTTTTTATGAGATGAAATATTTGTTGTTTTATTAGGGTTCCGTACCCGAAGGGTGCTAACGGAACCCTATTGCTATGCCTTCGCTGTCCGTCTGTCTATCAGAGCACTGTATCTCATAAACCGTAATGGGTGGAGAGTTGAAATTTTCACAGTCCGTATTAATTCTATTGCCGCTATAACAACAAACTATAATTAAAAATGAAAAAACACGAAATATTTTTTTAACGTTCGTAAACGATCATCAATGTTTATACTACATAGAGTAAAGGTCATATTTATAAAAAGTATACGTACGATGGTACGGGAACCCTTCGTGTGGGAATTCGACTTGACCGATTTTTTATACACGTTTAAGCTACTTTAAATAATAATTACTATACCTTTATAATACGCATAAAAATAGTCATAGCGTACTAAAATCCATACTATCCATACTATTTTTATAAATTTGAAAATGTGTTTGTTTGTTTGTCCTTCTTTCACGTCAAAACGGAGTGACGGATTGGCGTGATTTTTTGTGTGGGGATAGATGGAAGGCTGGAGAGTGACATAGGTTATTTTATACCGCGGGAAATTATCTAATTCCCACAGGAAAACACGTTATAGTACATTCCAAAAAATATTTATGATCAGAATTACTTGAAACTTGGTATTAATGTTCTCTAATAAAATTAAATAAATATGTGTTTTAGCATTTTTTGAAATTCATTTTATAAGGGGGTAAAATTGGGGATAAAAGTTTCTATAAAACTACCTTTTTAGAGATTTTTTGCTGTTTTAGCGCGAGCGAAACCGCGAATTTTGCTAGTAATATTATAAACGTGAAAGTGTTTGTTTATTTGTTTGTCTGTCCTTCTTTCACGTCAAAACAGAGTGACGAATTAGCGTGATTTTTTGTGTGAATATAGTTGGTGGGCTAGAGAATGACATAGGATACTTTTTACCGCGGGGGATTGTCTCATTACCGTGGAAAGTACGTTTCAAACATTACAATACAATCCAAAAAAATATTTATGATTAGAATTACTTGAAATTTGGTATAAGTGATCTTTAATATTATTAAGTAAATAAGTGTCTTATCATTTTTCGAAATTCATTCCATAAGGGAGTAAAATAGGGGATGAAAGTTTGTATGAAACCTAGGTTTTTTAAGATTTTTTTTAGTTTCAGCATGAGCGAAGCCGCGTGTACTGCTAGTAATTCATAATTTCAATATGTTAGTATAATCGTTTATTTATTTATAGCAAAAGATCAAGTTACTAAAATATGCTCTTTACTCAACTGTTTTGCTTAAAACGTATAAAACATCCAGAAAGAAAGCTCGTACTATGATAACGTATTACTAGCACCGTTACCTTTCTCTAGATTTACAATATAAAGAGTAATAGTTAAGTTATTAAAGTAGATTATAATGTCAATATTGTTAGTGTAACTGCCTCGGTGGTGTAGTGGCTAGCATGTACGGCTGCACACCCGGAGGTCCTGGGTTCGAGTCCCGGGTCGGGCCAAGTTTAGTTATTGAGTCTTCCTGTATAGTAAGTCTCAGTAACAGCCCGGAGTTGGTAAGTTGGCGGTGTTTCACCCCCGTGCCTCGGAGAGCACGTAAAGCCGTCGGTCCTGCGCCTTAACTCTCACCGGTCGTGTCGAGTGGTCGTCCCACCGGAGTATGAGAGTGATAGGAATAGAGAGTGCACTTGTGTCTGCGCGTACACTTGAGCACTATAATATCTCCTGCGCAGTTGGCTAATCTCAATGAGATTGGCCGCCGTGGCCGGAATCGGCTAGGGGAACATCATTTAATGAAACTATGAAATGGAACTGAATGTACGATATTCATTATTCAGACCTATTCATCTTCAGTAATCGGTAATCACCTCTTCTATGGTATCATCATTTTGTATTACCTTTCAACTAAAAAAAATGACAGTTAAGAGTAGTATTTCAACCCTTAGAGGTGTAATTATTTTGACATTTTTATGAGACCATCCTTAAGGTATAACTTATTATTAAAAACTAGCGACTCACACTCGCTCGCTCGTCGTCATTCCTCCTTAGGTTGATTCCCCATACAAACTTTCTTCCCCATTTTCACTCTTAAGTAATGATTTCCAGGATAAAAAGTATTCTATGTCCTTCCCAGGGTCTCAAACTATCTTCTTTCCAAATTTAATCTAAATCGGTTCAGTAGATCCAGAGATTACCCCCTACAACGTCACAAACTCACAAACTTCCTCTTTATAATATTAGTATGGATATATTTTTACAATCGCGTGAAATACACACAAACAAAACCGAATTAAGTACTTCCTCTAAGCATGGAAATGATTGCTACTTTTAAATCATTATCATATGATAAAATTACGTATATACGTGATTTCACCTGCTACTTTTCACAGGCAATGATTTTTTATTTCGACGGTCTGGTGTCACACTTTATATTATTTGCCATTAAAATGAAGTATTAGTAGGGGAGCCCAAGAGGGGATTTTCTGTAGTTACTCGAGCGCGGCAGATTAACATAGTTTATGGTGATTTGTAGCAGTTGCTACTCGTGAAATGTTCCATGCCTAACTTCCTCCATTTAAAGTCGGTCAAAAACTAACCATACAAAACATTCTAGTATTACAAATTGCTAGTAATACTATTACACCGTACATGTAGTGTACCAATCAAAGTATCGTAAAAACACTTTAAAACCTGTAACTAACTATAAAAGCACGACAGGACGAAGGAAAATTTTTAAGCAAAGTTGCACTAGCAACAGCATGCTTCAGGTAAAAAACAGTTTTTATCGACCAATTTGTATTGCAAAGTTGCGCGAGCTTCCATATTTTTTGTGAAAAATGGTTTAATATTGAGGTTTAAACGTATTTTTCCTTAAATGGCTTTTACGAAATAAAGTGAACAGTCTATAGACTATAGTTATAAATTCATTAGACCAGATATTATTATTTTAAGATATGACATATTTAAAAATATAATAAAGTTATTATTAAGCTTTAAGTTTTGGTATACAAAAAGTTTATTTGTAGGCATTTGGGTTTCTATTAGGTGTTATTCAAATTCAAATTATTTTATTCAGCATTAAATTATTATAATTTTTTACTGAACGTCATGAATCTACTATCAATTTACAAAATTTCATCTAAATCGGTTCAGTAGATCCAGAGATTACCCCCTACAACGTCACAAACTCACAATTCACACATTCACAAACTTTACCTCTAAATAACATTAACATCTCCAAGTAAATTTCTAAGAAATTAATTAAAACTCTAAGAAATCTATTGTTAACTGACACGCCGGCGTGTTCGCGGTCGTGAAGGGATTAAGTATAGATTACCAAAATTTATATGTCGCAATACCTATATTGTCACAAAATATTAGCATACAGTTGCTGTTTGGATAAAATACTTTTAACATCCAGTAATTTTATAATTTAGCTAACAGCTTTTATCTAAATATGAAAATCTATGCTAAACCAAGTAATAACTGTATTGAAATTATAAATAGCTTTTAAGCTGTGCTTTAAGTTAGCATTAACTTAAGTTTTAGCACTTACCGCGACTAAGCCGCCGTTATCACAAGGCACGTCTAAGTAGTTGAATATGACCTGGATTCGCTTATCGGGATCGGCTATCATGTAGATACCACACACTGTGGGCTCGTCGGACGGCGATTTGAAAAATAGCTCCCCTTCTTCAGAAGTTACCAGGAAGCAATCTATTTGGAAAAAGTATTGTACTTTACTCAAAAAGAAATTTAAACGCACTTTTAAAGCGTAAACTTTTTACATTTAAGTTAAATGCCAGTATTAGCCTGTGAGAAAGATACCAGCAGCTCGGAAGGCAGTCCAGTAAATATTTTGTTTAAAATATTAGAATACAATGATTTATAGTTTATTATCTATTAATTTAAAATTTTGTCTATGATTTGTACTGACTAGATTTAATTCTATATTATATGAGCAAAGTATTCCGTGACGAAATTATATAGGAAAAATACCAGTGATTTTCCTTACGGGTGTGATTATGTTTAGTTTCGAATAAACATGACCCACGCATTGCAAAGAAGTACACGAAACGGAGAGTTAAATCAGTATATTGAGGTCTACTCAACCGATTAAATATACTACTTCTTGATGCGTCACAAAATACCACCTGTAAGCATGTAATCAAGTTTTAACCTACCTTAATATCGTCTACAACTGAAAGTTTGCTGGTACCTATGTGAAATCTGTATGAAAATAGAACACTTTGATACTATCAAGATTTTATTATCGAATCAAGAGATGGGACAATGGAACTCTTCAGTGGCCCTTAGAAAAACCTTTGAGTTTGGTTTATTTTAACGAGTCCCATTCATTACAGATGGCCACAACCATCATTTTTGAATATACAAAATAGTAGTTCAATATTTTCAGTATTTTAGATTTTGATTTCAGATTCAGTATTTTGATTTATTGTGTTATAGAAATTTATATTTGAGGTATTTTTGTTATATCAGTCAATAAAAAAAATTAGAAACATTCTTTTTTATACATAAGGTAAAAATTCTTTTAAGTTTTGCCGATTATTCGACCACAAGGCAAGTTAGTAAATAATTGTTTATTAGAAAACCTAATAAGTACATAATATTTTACATTGCCATGAAGTTAATTCAATACTACGTTATATTGTAAAGACTAAATATTTAGAAAAGGTTAATTTTTGTTTCATACCTTCATTAGGATCGATGATACGATGTGTGGGAAGCGGAAAACGACGCACTCTGGAAAACCACGATGGTTCATGATTTCTTTGCCCTCTCCAACCCTGTCAAGTAATTAAACATTTACGTTCATAAAAATATAATTTACTACTTTCTAGCAGTGGATATGACTATTGACTAACACTGCTAATTTTCAGATCATTGATTTGAAAGTAGATCTTACTTTGTATTGTATTTAGCCCTTTTTATCGTCACATTACTAGGCACAAGCCTCCCCTTTAATAAGAGAAATATCAGGCCATAGTCCACCATGCTGGCTAAATGCGGGTTGGGAGATTTCACGTGTCTTTCTAAAACTTGCTAGGTTCCCTCCTCACAATGTTTTCCTTCATCAAGTGGTAATCATGTTCGAAATGATTCGCACATGAAAATATCAGAGGCGCGAGACCCGGGATTTGAACCAGCTTTATTCGGCTCCCAAATGAGCGCGTTTTCACTGGGCCACTACTGCCATAACCTCACATTTATATTATAATATTAATTAACTACGGAGTAGTACAGGCCTCCTTTTAGTGCAAAGAAGAATAAGTAAAAAGTCCAACACGCTGGTCAAATGCGAGCTCGTGAGCTTTACACTTGGCTTATAAAGGTTTGAAGGTATACATGTTTTAAATGAGATTCCCATACGAAATTCTCGGGTGTAAGACCCGGTGTTTGAACTCGCTTCAATCTGTTTCCAAGAAAAGCATGCTCCCAATGGACTATCACTGCTATTTTATTAGTATCACGAAGAGAAATAATTTTAAGATTCCGTTAGTATTTCGTGATATCATACACTATGCACAAAGCAAATTATATCTATACTATAAAAAAACTGTAGAGGTCGAATGTCTGTACATAGAAAAGAAATGCTAAAAACCGTGTCAGGGGGATGTAACAAGCCATATAGAACAAATCTAGTTTTTTTTTAATTTTTTTTCTCATTCTGTTTGTCCGTTTATCTGTTTGTCTGTTTGTACGGGCTAATCTCCGAATCTATTAGACCGAATTAAATGAAATTTTGCATGTAAGGTACCACACCTTATATCTCCGGGCAACATCTTAGATACTTTTTGTCCCGGAAAATTAAAGAGTTCCCGTGGGATAGTTAAAATACTATAATAACTTATACAGCTTAGTACACATCAACTTATGGACCTAATTAAGTGAAATTTGGCATGCTGATACCATATAATGCCGGTCAAACAACAGGTTACTTTTCGTCCCGGAAAAATTAACAGTTCCATTGGGGTAGATCTGTTCGTGCTTTCCTAGAGGCGAACCCGAGCGAAGCGAGGGTGAACGCTAATATTTTTATAAAAACTTTTTTTTCTTAACTACTTAACTGTTAACGTATTATACATTGTTTTAGTAAATTCTCACACATGAATCTAAGAAAACTACTATTTTAAAATATTGTTTTTTTTTCAATTTTACAGTTTTGAGAATTTTTGTATTCATATTTTCTTGAAGTCTTTACCCAGGAGCGGAGCCTTTCAAAGGAATTGTATTATCGTTGTTTATTTTGAAGCCTATACACAATGCTAAGTTTTATTTTAGTCGGTAAATTTACAAATGCAATAAAATAAATATATGATTTCGGAAAGCTTTTCAAACTTACATAACTTAATAAGTCTTGTAGAGTCTACAAATAAGCTGAACGTTATAATGGGTACTTATCACATGGATCCGACTTATCTTCCACTAAACATCTTATAGGACACCTAAGAGGTCGTTGAAACCTCTCAACTCGACCCTTAGTAATTGGATGATTATTTTCCTTTGTCTACGTGATGGACTAAAAAAAGATTTAAGATCTATCCATATATTGATAAAATTGAATATCACTATAAGAAAAAACCAAAAAAAAAAAACGTAAATATGTAATTTATTATGAACTAACCTAGGGGATAAAACTTATATCTAAGACATAATAAATGATGTAAGTGAAACTGAAATTCATTACTGAATATTTTAATTTTTACCATACTAGGTCTGTAACAGGACAACGTCTGCTTTTTAGATACAAGTAGGTTATTAAAAAAAATATTCCATCTGACTAGATGCTTCACAGAATAGTGACTTTTAAATAAATCGAAAATATGATTCTTCTCCACTTTATAATATTAAAATTATTACGATTACTCTACTGTTTAATGATGGTTTCATTTAATACTAGCCATTCTCCCTCTCTCCGATCGGGTTCGTCCCTACTGCATTTTAACGTGTAGTATAGATTTCTCAGAGATGAGATATTTTCTCGCAGTAAAAAGTATCCTATATATTGACCCGGTTATCGAGCTATCATCATACCAAACTTCATTAAAAAATTGTCCAGTGGTTTTCTCATGATGCGTTCCCAGACAAACAGACTGACAGACAGACAGACAGACAAAAATCTAAAAACAATAGATTCGGCTTCTATATCGTTAATAATGACTATTTCAATAAGATTTTCCAAAAAATATTTAATGTACAGATTCGACTCAGAATTTTATTATATGTAGATAGATAGATAAAAATCTGCAGCATATATGTTCATGTACAAGTCGTTAAGAGGAAAAGAACATAATATCTATATGAGATATGAAAACCAACAAAATATGTCTTTCTTAAGTAACTTGTATCGTAGGGGTTCAAGCAATTGTATGTGAAAGGCGTATGAATAGGATTCAGGAAATATAATTTTATGATACAGTAGAAATGCACTGTGTCGAACTACATTACATTTATCTACTCCAATAGAAGGCTTATAGGAAAATTTTAAGCTTTTTTCGATCAGATTATAGTTATTTATTATGTAATGAGTAAGAGATATGAATTCTGTGTATAAATTTTGTACAAAAGCGAATTTAATAGTTTTGAAATTTGTATGCATTTTCTAGCAGTCTTTGCTCGGAAATAAAATAATACAAAGGGATAGTGTTGTTGTTATTTATTTCGTGGCCTGTAAATATTGCTAAGTTTTATTTTATCCAGGGGTCCTGCGTTAGAGTGCCGGGTCGAGTCAAGTTTAGTTATTGAGTCTTTCTGTTTAAGAAGCCTCAGTAACAGCTCGGAGTTGGGAAGATGGCCGTGTTTCACCCCCGTGTCTCGGGGAGCACGTAAAGCCTGCGCCTTAACTCTCACTGGTCGTATCTCGTGTCGTCCCACCAGAGTATGAGAGTGAGAGGAATAGTGAGTGCACGTTGTGTCTGCGCGTACACTTGTGCACTATAATATCTCCTGCGCAGATGGCTAGTCTCAGTGAGATTGACCGCCATAGCCGAAATCGATCGGGAGGACATTATTTCTAAGTTATCCTACTTTAGGTGTATTTAATGAGATCAAGATTAGATGTTTGGATGATGATTTTAACGATACATGTATAACGAAACAATTTCTATATGGTTGAAAATGTTTCGTTATATGTTTAAAAATCGAACGTGCGACCTTCTTGTGCCACGCAGATCCGATGCACGTTTGTACTCATTACTTATATACGTTTAATTCATATATGATTTACTTAGGTGGTAATAATTAAATTCGAAGTGCTATTGTTATAATATTATTTTCTAAATGTACCTAAGCTACTAATGAAACCCTAATTATTTTTTTGCATGAGCCGTTCCATTATAACTAATTAGAATAGAAAATGATTTTTATTGTTAAGTTTTAATCAATTGCTTGGATATTGTTTTACTGAAATAATATAACATTTGAGAACCAATTTTAGTGCACAGATACTCCATAGAAATTAACAACAAAAGACCACGACGAATCAAAGGAAACATGAGGTCATGTTATATGTACGTATGTATGTTTTCGGGGAGAGCTCAGTTAGTAGTGACCGTACTTGCTGTGCCAGCGTTCGCGGGTTCGAGTCCAGCTAAGGGATGTGTGATATTGTGCTTTGTGTGATGAGCACGAATGCTTGTATTCCAGTCATGAGAGATAATATTTATAATTTGTATATTAAAATTTTATATGTGTAGTGTATCAATGATCTGGTATCCATAACAAAAGCCTCGTAGCTTACCATGGAACTAGTTGGTGTTTTGTGTTAATGTTACAACATATTTATTTAAAAAAAGAATCATTAAAATGCCATAATTACTTTGTTTGAAATTATGACAATAGTAAAAATAAGTGTGTTACTAGCAACCCACATACGCCCTTAGGTGACTAACAATAGCCTAAATGTTTAAATGTACTCCAGGTCATAGTCTATTGTGGACTAATTTTCATCCAAATCTATTTACCATTACCATTGTTTTACCATTATTTATTTATTTACGTTATTTACCATTTTAAATTAAACTATCTTTTCGTATTACACAATTTTACAAAAAATGTACAGATGTTTTTAAAATTGTGGATAGGCACTGTCTCTAAGAAGTATAATATAACGCTTTTAAGACGTCTAAAACCTTAGACTCTCTCTCTCTCTCTCTCTCACTCTCCCATGACCACGATTACTATAAACTAAAGCATTCGAACCGTCGGGAACCAATAATCAAGATAAATCCGCGAAATAATCCAAAAAAAAAATAGATTTATTTAAAATATATAATATTCGCGTAAATCTAAGAAAGTATTATTATTTACCATATTATTTCAGCATGAACGAGTTAATTACATACATATACATACAAGTTTTTGCAATTATAAGTTCGACCTTTTTATGTTGTTTTAGTAAAGCTTTGAATAACTCAAATGTATGTACTTATAAATTATCTAAATTGACATTCTTTTTAGTACCTTATTTGTAAGTCAATATTATTTCAGAACGAAGTGAATGCTGAAAAAAAGTCCTAATAGCACTACACAGCGATAAAACATCAAAGATTGTCGACAACCAATTATAAAAATAGACCTATTGTCAATATTTCAAGCCCTATTATGTATAAAGAAGCCATTAGAGAGCAATTTTTATATTAATATAATATCTTTTACACGGAATTCATGAAAAAGTTTTAAATATTATTATCTAAAAAATAATTTAAATATTGAAATAATTTATTTGGACCTGCTAACCTCTGGGACTACCTGCACAAAATATAAAACTACCTAATAAATATTATAT